CCCCCCTCTGCACGCGGCAACGGGCCCCGCCCCCTGGCCGCCTGCATGCGCCTGGGGTTTCGAGCACGGCGCGGGGGGGGGGGGGAGGGGGGAAAGGGGCCTGGTGCCCCGCGCGCCGCACATTTAATTCAAACCTGTTTTCGGGCCCATTTCAAAACAGCTCTGATTGCCGACCCAACCCCCAGGCCACCCCCTTTCCCACACAAATTTAAAACATCCCCGCGCCACATGGACGGGGGGAGGGGGGCGGCCGGGGGTGGGCCTGGAGCGGGGGGCGGGGCAGCAGCTGGGCGTGTCTCCCCGGCTCTGCTGGCTGGGGCCGCCCGGGCCGCAGCCCCAGCCTCGCCCGCGCCGCCGCCCTTCACAACTCTTCGTTGCACACGCCAGTTGGTCAAGAACCGCTGTAATATACATTTTCACGGCGTCACGCGCCGCGCGCGCCGCTGTCCGGAGGTGGGGGTTTGGGCAACAGGCCGGGCAGTTGCGACTGCAGCTGCTTAGGGGCACCTGATTGCTATCAGCAGAGAGCGCGGTCGGCCCGCCACGCCAGCACCCTCCAGCGCGGGGCCCCGCCGCAGCCGCCGGGCCACGCACGTGCGCCCCCCCGTCGAGCCGCGGCGGCCCCGTGTGCGGGCGAGAAGGGGTGGGGAACGGCGCGGTTGCGGCTGGGGGCGGCGCAGGGCGGGGACTGGGGCGCGCCGCTGCAGCTGGGGGCATCGCCGGCTGGCTGGGGAATCAGGTACAGGGCGTGCGGGCCTGTGTCAAGCTTGCATTTGCCTTTGCGGAGGCTTCTGTACCCGCCGCCGTCAACGTGGGTATGTATGCACGCGTAGGGCCGCGGCGGGCGCGGCTGCCATGGCGCGTGCCCGGGCGGGCAGGGGCGGTGGCACCCCCCCTTCCCGGCGGCCGCTCCCCAGACCCCTTATCACGCCACTGCCACATTGCGATGAGGGTGGTTGCGGCTGTTGTAGCACACCTCGCCAAGCTTACGCCACGTTTGACCGCGGATGCTGTTGTGATTGCTCTCACCCCACCCCTTCCAGGTTGACACGACTGCCGCCAGCTGGTGCAGTGGCCGGTGCTTCCCATGCGCAGTGCCCCACAGTCCATTGCATTTGGGCCGTGCGCATGCTCGCACCCTACGATTTTTGAATATATTTTTCGAGCCTACGACAGCCTCTCTTCCTTCCTCGCCAGTCTTTGCCTGCGCACAACACCATGGGTTTGGCTCAGTCGAAGCCGGAGCCGGAGCCGGTTAAGACGACCACCAAGGCAGTGAAGAAGGTTCGTGACGGGGGCGCTGCAGCAGGCGCGGACTGGCTGGGCAGTCTCGAGCGGTGACATTCGCATCCACGTCAATCTCACGCCATTGGCCGGAGGGGTCCACGGTACCCCGCAAAAGGATTGCGTCGTGTTTATTGGAGCGCTTTGGAAGCGAGCTGCAGGGGCAGTGGCGCGAGCATGCAGCGGGTTCATGTGAGGGGCGCGCTGCAGCCGCGGCCGCAACAGCTGAGCCGTGCAGGGTGCTGACCAGCCAGCAGCCCCGCCAGCAACGGCCCCGGCCGCAGCGGCGGCGGCTGGCGTGCAGGACGGGCACGCCCATTGCACGGTCCTGCGTTCGCAGGCGCCCACTGCCCTCTACTCATCCTGTCTCCCCGGGACTCGACAACAGAGCCAGGCAGCCACCATGCCCAGCCAGCTGGCACCAGGATCGCTTTGCCGACCCCTTGCTGATGCATACGCAATTGCATGCAAGCGCAGACACGCACATACACACATACACACACAACACAAACATGCACACAACACAAACATGCACACAACACACACACACACACCATGCAGGCGGCCAAGGACACTGGCAAGGCGGCCAACAAGGCGGCTGACAGCGTCGGCTCATCCC